CATTAAGTAAATTTCCTTACTGATACTTATAAAATATTACCACAGTTTTCCTTCTCCAACTAAGTGGTTCTTGGAACATCCTTACAAGTTGAATCCCAAAGATTATATTTATATCTTTTCTGGTTTAAACTCAATTCACCATTTTATTTTGACAGCTTTTGAACTATTTTTAAATATATTAATTGCATATAAAAACTGACAATGTTATAAACAATATAAACAATGAATAACATTATTTATATTGCCAGTCAAACCTGTTGGCTTATAATGTAGTAATTTAAATAAAATAATAAAGTAAATATAAAAGAATTTATAAACATTATTTATATTACATTATTTACATATTCTAATAATTCTAAAGAAAAAACAACAACAAAAAGACAAAAACAACTTAACAGAACTAAAATTGAATAGAACATTTATCATAAAAAAATGTTTTTTAATACTTAATGAACATTTACGATACAATAAACTTCAAGCATTTTTATGTAATCTAAGGCTATTATAAAAAAAAATAAAAAAGATCATACTAGTTATTTTTTGTACATTAGTTATCTAATCTTATTATCTTAGTTATCTAATCTTATCTAATATACTGCTTGTACATTAATATTTTAGATAAGTTTCTTTAATATGTTCGATAAGTTTTATAATAATAATTATACTAGTTTGAATGTACATTAAATTACACTATGTACATTAATACACTAGTTATTTAATGAAGATTAAAACTAAACATTTATTTGTTGTAAACCAAATAATAATTATTTGGCAAATAATTTGCCAAGTAGGCATTAAAATTCAAACTGGTTTACTTGACATACTTGCTATACTATTGCAAGTTATGCAAAGTAAGCAAAGCTACTGGAAAGAGTTAAAATAAGTATATGCATAAATAATATATAATTAAATATAATTAAAAGTAATCCATTTTATAATGCATTATAATATGATAAATATAACTAGTTGTTTATGTCTGTATGTTTAGTTTAAATCATATAAATGTAATGCATTATAAAAAACATATAATACATAGTCTTATTAAACACAGAAAAACAGAAGAATACAGTAAGTATTGTTTTCTAAAGTTAAAAATAATCATAACTCTACGAGCTATGACACCGTCTTTAAAAGCGCATTTGTAACAACCATGGCGCTGAAAAAAAAAAACATGGTTCACCCATGGAAATTCCATGGGATTTCAATTTTCATGAAATTTACCCATGGAAATTCCATGGAATTCCCGTTTTCCATGGGAAAACCATGGTTTACTCATGGAATTCCATGGGTTTTCCATGGAATATTTCCGTAAGGGATATGTATGTATATATATATATGTATATATATATATATATATATATATATGTATATATATATATATATATATATATATATATATATATGTATATATATATATGTATATATATATATATATATATATATATATATATATATGTATATATATATATATACATATATATATATGAATATATATATATATATATATATATATATATATATATATATATGTATACATATATATATATATATACATATATATATATATATATATATATATATATATATATATATATATTCATATATATATATATATGTATATATATGTATGTATATATATATATATATATATATATATATATATATATATATATATATATATATATATATATATATACACACATATTTATATATATATATATATATACATATTTATATATATATTTAAATAATTTTAAAATGTATTCTACAAAATAGAGTGCTCAATGTTCTTAAAAGAACAGAGCAATAATAAAGTAGTAGAAAATCACTTAGCAAAAATTTTTTTCATTTAACATTGTGTTTCATCAATAAGTCTTTATTGTTTGTGTTTCATCAATAAGTCTTTATCATCGATGAGTCTTTATTGATGAAACACAGTGTTATATAAAAAAAAATTTTTACTAAGTGATTTTCTACTACTTTATACATATGTATATATATATATATATATATATATATATATATATATATATATATATATATATATATATATATATATATATATATATGTTGCATATTGTTATATTAATTTTGCATATTGTTGAACAAATGCAAAATTAATATAACAGATAAATGTTATATTTATCTGTTATATTAATTTTGCATTTGTTCAAAATTAATATAACAGATAAATATAACACATACATTTTTAAATATATCATAAAAAAAACACATATCAAACATACCATAAAAAAAATAAATGCGAAAAATTTATTAAAACTTCAAAATTGTTCTTTTACTTTTTTTCATTAACTTTTGCTGTTAGAAAAATCTATACTTGAGCCATTTTTAATATTTGTTAAAATTCTTTTTTCACTATTGTTTCTTTTATTGTATTAACAAGAAGCATTTTTTTTCTTTTAATTTGTACTTTGCTTTTAGTTGTCATTTTTGTTGTTTTATTTCTTCAATCTTTTTATTCATATATATTTAATAAAAGGTATATGCAGTAGCATCGTCTTATACTGAAAACCAAAAGAAATTACCTCGTTTTCATACAGAGGAGAGAGAATTTGATACAGTAGAAAGAGGTTTGTTTGAGGTTCTTTTTTTATGTTTTATATTTGATATATGTTTTCAATTGATAATACATTATAATAATGCGGTAGTGGTGTAGTGGTAGAGCCCTTGCTTCATAAGCGAGAGGTTCCATGTTCGATCCCCACCAAATCCCAGGTAGTATCGGGCACAACTTGTTTCTCTGCACAGCGGCCTTGTTTGTCAAGGTTTATATTTTTGAGTTATAGAGTTGGGAGAGGGTTATAACCACAGTTAAGTAGCCTCCTTGTCTGTAATGGCCTTGGGTGTTGAAAATTACATTTAAAAAAATGATAATAATTATGATTCCTAAATGTTAAAAAAAAAAAAAAAAAAAAGATTCCTTAAAAATAAAGAATGTATATAGTAAAGAATTTGTAATAAAAAATTAACTATTAAGTATACTACAACAAGTGTAAAATTTAGCAGTTATTTCCATTCATTCAGGAACATCACTGATATGTTTATTGGCTTGGTTTAGCTTTTTTACACTATGCTAAACATTAGGTTAAAGAAAAACATCAGACTGAAAAAAAATTTTAGACTGAAAAATTTTAGACAGTAAAACATTAAACTGAAGAAAAACATCAGACTGAACAAAAAGATTAGACTGAAGAAAAGCATTAGGCTGAGGAAAAACATTAGAATAAAAAAAAACTTTAGACTGAAGAAAAACATTAGACTGAAAAAGAATAGTGCTAAAATCACAAATCCAGCAATTGTGCAAGAAGCAATTGTGCAAGAAGCAATTGTGCAAGAAGCAATTGTGCAAGAAGCATTCTATTAGGGTTTTATGGTCAATTATTTAACAAAAAGTATATATAGAAAACAACAAAAAAGTAAATATGGAATTTAACAAAAAGGTATATATGGAAAGGTATTGTCTGAGAAAAATTGATGTCATGGTTGTGCTACTTCTTTTGTGTGTTATTCAAGCTTATTATACAAGGTGTATCTAGGTGTATCAAGGTGTATCTTATTATACAAGGTATATATATCTTAAAACTTAAATGACCCACAAAAGAAGTATTACAAAAAAATAGAATAATTTTACAAAAGAAGTTTTTTCACAAAAAAAGTAGTTTGAATAGAAAGTATTTTATAAGTAGCAGCTTATCCCAAAAATATTTACTATATGTACATATATATATATATATATATTATATATATATATATATATATATATATATATATATATATATATATATATATATTATATATATATATATATATATATATATATATATATATATATATATTTTATATATATATATATATATATATATATATATATATTTATATATATATATATATATATATATATATTTTAACAACTTCACTTCCAAAAAGGCTGCAAGTAACCACTATAAGAGTTGTGAGTTACTGGAAGAACAAAGATGAAGTTTATAGAGCAAGATAACGATTGACAGACAACTTTAAAGGTTGTAAATTATATGAATCAGGAAAGCAATTAAAAGAAGCAAATTCCAAAAAACTTATGTTTGAGAAAAAAAACTTGACAAATAAGAGTTTTTGAAGCACTTAGGAATAGTCACAGAAAAAGGATGAGACTTAATTGAATGACGAGTAACACGAGAATAAATTTTAGTAGATGGTATAAGAGACCCTAGCTCTTTAGAGCAGTGCTCATTATAGTATTTGTATAAAAAAGAAAGAGAAGCAACATTATGACGATGTGATAATGGTTGGAGTTTGGCTGCAAGAGCAGGTCCAACTATGTTTACAATGAATTTTTGCACCTTATCTAAAAGAGAAAGGGCATCATTGGAAGATCCACCCCAGACATGGCAACATTATTCTATCCAAGGACTGATTTGAGATTTATAGAGATAAAGAATAGAATCAGGAGCAAGAAAATAGCAATCATGATAAAGAGAAAGAAAAACCTTATATATGACCTTATAAGAGATGCTCATATGTATAAATGCAACCTTATATATGTATAAATATACATATATGTATGTATATATATTTATACATTCATATTAACATTTAGAAATTTAGAACTTTTGTTGTTTTATTTTGTATTGTATGTTGCAAAACCGCATGGTTTTAACAGCATATAATACAACAATGCAATACAACAACAACATAAAAATTTATTAAATGTTTTCTGGTTTGTTACTCTTAATTTTAAATAAAATAATATTTTGTATATTAAAGAACTTGTATTATGTTGACTATCTATCTTATATCTATTATGATTTTGACTATCTATCTTATATCTATTATAGATTTATATCTATTATGATTTTGTTACTTTAAGTGTCAATATTTTCTAAGTGACTTTGCTTCTCTAAGTGACACAAAGTATAGAAAATTTAAAATTAATAAAATACCTGAATTATATGAAAGTATAACAAAAGGTTATGAATATTTATTATTAATTGTTTAATATTTAACATTAAAAAGCTCACAAAGACACTTAACTGCTTACTATTACTAAGTTATTAATTGTTGATTACATCTTTTCAACGATATTCAAATCAATGATCAGACCTATACCCCTTATATAATATATATATTTACTATTAAATGAATATTCATTAAACTCTGATTGTTTAATCATAGTTTTAATTCAATAATGTAATTTAAAATCCAGTGTAAATGAAAAACTTTTTTTTCAAGTATCTTTTTTTTCAAGTTTAAGGTAATATATAACTATAAGGTAATATATTTTTTTCAAGTTTAAGGTAATATATAGCTTCTATTGATATAAAGATGTTGTATATTTTTAAGTAAATTGATTAAGAATGAGTTTTGAAGCAGCTTAAAACAATGTTTGATTGCAGTTCTGCTTTGCTTAAAAAAAGTAGGAGAGCTTTTACAATCTGATGTAATAATAATAATTTCTGATAATTTTCTTTCATAAAATTGAAAACTGTACGCAAATTTTTGTTTGAAAAGTTATTAAGTTTTCAAATAGAATAAACTTTTCAACAACAAAAAAAAAAATAATCGTAAAACTAATCCAGTAATTAAACCCATAAAACAGGTTCTAAATAAATAAGTCTTTAATAACAATTAAACTTGTTATCTGAGATACTATAATACCATTCAAACTAAGAATGCATAATTATGTATTAATAGGTATTAATAGAGCTAATTTGATCTAGCGAGATCTAGAATCAGTTAAAGTCACAAAATGATGGTGATAATTTTTATGAAATATGAAATATTTAAACTTGACTCACTTCTTCTATGTTCCCGCCCCCCCCCCCCTTTCCCCTAGTTGGCTGATTCTTACAGTTCCATTAGGAGAAGCATCTTTGTATGCTTCTCCTAATGGAACAATATTAACTTGCTCAGCTAATATAGGATCTCTCTTTGCTATTTATCTTAAATTTTCATTGTGTATTCCTGGAGTAGATTGATAAGCATGAGAGGGACCACAACTAAGAATGAATAGGCATATGGTATAATGCTTTTCAACATTTTGATCAGCTCAACAGTTGACTCTTTGCTGTGGAATTTTTATAAATAAAAAAAAGGATGCTTTTCTTTTCCTTTTAATTTCCTTATCATGCAAATTAAACAGTCACAAAAGATAGTAAAACCTTCTTGTGGAAAACGACCTCATTGAACAAAATCCTAGGAACAGTGCCATGGCTAGTAGTGGATTGGAGGCCTCCTCCAAAACTTGTCATTAGGACCTTAAAACACTAAAATTAAAAAAATTAAAAATTCTTCCACTAGGTATTATGGTTTTAAAAAAAAAAAAAAAAAAGCTCCTTAAATTTGCAAAATACACCACAAGTTTTGCTGGTTAGCCACCTAATTGGGGGGCATGGGGTAACCTAGCCATGGCTCTGCCTAGGATTAGATAACTACCCAATAATCCTAGCCATGGCTTATAGATTATAGTTTTTATAATTTAATTATCATAATATAATTTATAATGGTTATAATGTTTATATTGAATAAAATTTTGTAAAAATAAATGAATATAAAATGATCAAAAGTTTGTTTGCTAATTTTTTTAGAGCCAAAATATATTTGTTTTTTTAGAACCAAGATATATATGTTTTTTTAGAGCCGAAATATATTTGTTTTTTTAGAGCCAAGATATATTTATCCACAGATTGAAAGATTTGTAGTGAGCCTAATATCTCCTACCAGTTGGGAAACTGTTCCAAACTCAAGGTAAATTAAAAATAGTAGAAAAACTTAATTTCTTAGAAAAAAAAGACCAGAATTCTAAATAATTTTTCTAAACACATTAATTTTTTTAAAGATATTTCTTTATTATTTCTTTATTGCTGTTTTTAAATTAGGTTTTTTTTTTGTGTGTGTTTTTTATTTTAGGTTGTGCATTTTCAATTTAAAAATGTACAACCTAAAAGTTTTATTTATATTGGAACTTTGCGAGTCTGATTTAAAAAATAAAACCTAGATTTAAATTGTACAAGGTATTTGCTACAAATCTTCGTATATACATCTTTTTTCTTTAAATTTTTTTTTAAAGTATACTTTTTTATTGAATAAGTTTTATTGAAGTAAACTAAAATAAAAATAGTGTTTTTTTATTTCATAAATAAAAGACATTTTTTTTTAATAATCATTTCTTAATGAAATAACACATTATCATTTCTAATAAAAACAGATTGAAATTCGGTGGTCTTGCTAATGCTGAACTGTTTCTTCCTTTACAAAGACATAAAGTTTTTTTGTTGCGATGGAAAGATTAATTTATTAAGAAAAATTTTCTAATTTTATTAAGGAGTGCTATTAAATGCATGTGTTACTGAATACATAACATACACAGTCTGTGTTTTTAGGCTATTCCTAAGATCATCTGTTACAAGCCAGGAATAAAAATAATTTTATTTTTTTGTTATATTAAAAAACATAAATAATGATTATAAGTAATAGCATGTTTTTTTATAGGTTTTTTTAATTCTAGAACAATGCTTCAAGAATTTTTTTTTTAATTCTAGAATAGTGCTTCAAGAATTTTTTTTTTAATTCTAGAACAGTGCTTCAAGAATTTTTTTTTTAATTCTAGAACAGTGCTTCAAGAATTTTTTTTTTAATTCTAGAACAGTGCTTCAAGAATTTTTTTTTTAATTCTAGAACAGTGCTTCAAGAATTTTTTTTTTAATTCTAGAACAGTGCTTCAAGAATTTTTTTTTTAATTCTAGAACAGTGCTTCAAGAATTTTTTTTTTAATTCTAGAACAGTGCTTCAAGAATTTTTTTTTTAATTCTAGAACAGTGCTTCAAGAATTTTTTTTTTAATTCTAGAACAGTGCTTCAAGAATTTTTTTTTTAATTCTAGAACAGTGCTTCAAGAATTTTTTTTTTAATTCTAGAACAGTGCTTCAAGAATTTGAGCATGTCACTTGTATGAAAGTTTTGCTTTTACATTCTGAATTAGTTGATATTGGTTTAAAACAATACCTGGTGGTTGGTACAACATTTAATTATGGTGAAGATCTTGCTTGCAAGGGAAGGGTATGTTTTTAAAAATTACCCAAATTAAGTGTGGGGTAGCTTGTTGCTAATATTTTTGTTTTAAATTTTAAAAAGAATTGTGCAAGATTCATTTGCAGTTAACTTAATTAACACCTCTACATCAACACACAATGTTTCATTTTTTAAATAGTAATGTGGATTCTTTTACTTGATTTTTTCTCTTTTCGCTATTACTGGCTTGTCAAATATGGCATAGCATGCCATAGCAGAATTCTTAGTTAAGGTATTTTCAAATAACAAAGTGCAACCTGAAGTATCATGTAACATTTCAGTTTGGTTTGACTCAAGTGAATCTGATACATAGGTTTCATTTGCAATAGGTTTATTTTTAATATGCAAAAGTTAATACCCTTACCTTTCAATTTAAAAGTCTTGTTTAATGAGCTTGAAAATACTGAAATAATCTTGCATATCAACAATAACCTCTTGTTAGTGATTTTTGATTGCTTTAAAGAATCCAGGGATCACTACTTACTAGTTGCTTGCAACTGTAATCATTGAAGATTGATAATTACAGTTATTTTAATTTGCTCTAAGGAATAGTTTTTTTTTTTAAATTTTTTGTGAAATTGTTTATTAAAAAAAAAAGTGTACTCAAAATAGTAACCAAAAATAAAATATATTTTAAAAGTAAGCTCAGCTGATTTTATTTCCATGTTTTTTTTTAGTTTTTACCAATAAAGACTTTTCTTAATAATATTTTCTTTTAAATTTATCTCTAAAGATTGCATGCTGATGAAGACATGCTGTCACACATGTTGTCATGCATGCTGTCATGCATGCTGAATAGACAATGCATGCTTATGAAAACAATATTTAACTTTTGCTGAAAGAAGAAGACCTCCCTAGACAAATAAGAACATAAAACTGATCTCGACACTTAGGATATTTTTTGTTTGTATTTGCTTTCATGTATAAAAAAAAAATAACTAAAATCATCATTTTATAGTTGACAAGTCCAACCCAAAAGCTGGTAAACAAGGTGGCAAAAGCAATCATGATAAGTTCTAAATGGATGATTTCATTTATTTATTTTTTTAAATAAAAATTATGAAGTCAAAAAAATAAAAATGAAACAAATGAAAATATTTTGATTAAAGTAAACAAAAATGAATTAAAAAAGACTACAGTTTAACATTTCAAATAAAAATCAAAATATAATGAACATCATAGTAATCTTATTTCAATAAAAAAATATTTACAAGTTTAAATTTCAAATTTTTTTTCAATTTTGTCTTGTTTTGCATTAATTTAAATTAATTTAATAAATTAGTATTTATACTAAAATATTTTGTGAATTTTTAGATTCTTATATTTGATGTGTTAGAAGTTGTCCCGGAGCCTGGCCAACCTCTTACTAAAACTAAATGCAAGGTTGCTTTTACTATTTTACATCATTTTTGTCTTTTTAAAATTGATAAAAATTAAAAATTCAAATGGTTGTGTTGTGTACTATATAAAATAAATGAAAATTTTAGTGTGTGTATGATAAGGAACAAAAAGGACCAGTTACAGCTATTTGTGCAACTAGTGGATATATTATTGCTGCAGTTGGTCAGAAGGTAATTTTTTATTAAGCAGTCTGTAATTTTAGCATCTTTCAAACAAATTTTTTTTAATATACTTATTCCTCTGTGTATATATATATATATATATTTTTTTTTTTATTTGCATTCACTCCCAACAAGGCTGCAAGCAACCACTATTAAGTTGGGAGTTACTAGGAAAAAAAAAGAACAGAGTTATAGAGCAAGGAAACGGTTAACAGAAGACTTAAAAAGTTGAAGGTTGTATGAGTCAGGAAAACATGAAGATGGGAGAGAGTTCCAAAGGATTGAAGTGCGGGGAAAAAAACTAGATGAATAAAAGTTTTTAGAGCATGCAGGGACAGATACAGTAAACAAATGAGACTTAGCTGAATGACGAGTAAAACGAGAATGAATTTTAGTTGATGGAACTAAAGATGATAACTCCTTTGAGCAGTGAACATGATAGTATTTGTAGAAAAGAGAAAGAGATGCAACTTTACGACGATGGGAAAGAGGTTCAAGCTTAGCAGATAGTCCAGGTCTAACAACATTTACAATGCGTTTTTGGACCTTGTCAAAAAGAGAAAGTGAATCGTTAGAAGAACCAGCCCAAATATGACAACAATATTCCATACAGGGACGAATAAGAGATTTGTAGAGGTAGAGAATGGAATCAGAAGTAAGGAAATGGCGAGCACGATAAAGAGAAGCAACCTTAGCAGAAGCTAATTTAGCAATCGATTGTATATATGGTTTCCATGAAAGGTCAGTAGTAAGCGATAATCCAAGAAGACGTAAAGAGGACGACTCAGTTAGAGGATTGCCATTCATTAATATAGGAATGTTGACCATATTACGGTAATTGTTTGCAGTAAGCAATTGGGTTTTTTTAGAGTTGAAATTCACAAGCCACTGTGAACCCCAATCTATTACTGAAGTGAGATCAGATTCAAGATCAGCTGCTTGTTCTAGGCGATCGAAAAGAGAAGACTTTTTGCCAAGACAGGAGTATAAAGTTGAGTCATCAGCAAAAAGAGCTACTTTAGATGAAAGGTTGTCAGGAAGATCGTTTATGTAGATAAGAAACAAAACAGAGCCCAGGATGGAACCTTGGGGAACCCCAGAAGTTACTGGAAATAAAGAAGAGTGTTGGCCTTCAAGGATGACTTTAATAAACCGGTCAGAAAGAAATGATTTGATAATCTCAAAAACTTTCCCAGAAACACCATATGAAGCAAGCTTATGGAGAAGACCAGCATGCCAAACTTTGTCAAAAGCTTTAGATATGTCGAGAGCAATAGCCCTAGCCTCACCGCCTCCATCTAATGCACGATAAAATCTTTCAGTTACAGCAGTTAGCAAGTCGGCCGTAGAGCGAGAGGATCAAAAACCGTATTGATTGTCTGACAGCAGTTTATTTGACTCAAGATGAGATGTGAGGAATTTGTTGATCAAAGATTCAAAGACCTTGCTAATAACAGAAAGAAGACTGATCGGACGATAATAGGAGGGGTCAGAATTTTCTCCAGAGTTTTTGAATATTGGAACCACAGATGCCATTTTCCAACAAGCAGGAAAACAAGACTCAGTCAAACACTTGTTAAATAGTTTAGAGAGAATTAAAGAAAGTTCTGGAGAACAATTCTGCAAGACTGTGACAGGAATGTTGTCTGGACCACAAGCTGTAGACGAGTTTAATTGAGATATGACTTTAGCAACAGAAGCCGCAGTGATTTGAATGTCTAACAATGGGTCAACCTGTTTGACTGGAATGGAAGGAAGAGAATGTCCATAAGATTCAAGAGTGGAATTAGAAGAAAAGTTCTTTGCAAACAGTTCTGCCTTATCCCTGGGAGAGGTAACAAGATCAGTCCCATGAATGAGAGATGGAATGTTAGATCTACCCTTGTTAACAATGCTGTTATTATATATATATATATATATATATATATATATATATATATATATATATATATATATATATATATATATATATATATATATATATATATATATATATATCAATCCTCGTAATATGGAAAAGTGAGGTTGGCAATAAATTGCCGACCTCAAACTGTTAGAGGCCGGCTCAAGGTTGGCAAAAAAAAATTTGATAAAGGAGTTACCATAAAACATAGAAATCTTAAAACACCTCAAACCTCAAAAAACCTCAAACACTTTAATGTCGTCAGTTAGGTCGGCATTGCCGAATGCTGACCCCGATTCCGAGGGTTGTATATATATATATATATATATATATATATATATATATATATATATATATATATATATATATATATATATATATATATATATATATATATATATATATATATATATATATATATATATACATATATATATATATATATATATATATATATATATATATATATATGTATATATATATATATATATATATATATATATATATATATATATATATATATATAACACACACACACACATATATATATGTATGTATGTATGTATGTATATATATATATATATATATATATATATATATATATATATATATATATATATATATATATATTATATATATATATATATATATATATATTTATATATATATATATATATATATATATATATATATTTATATGTATATAAGTTAAACTTTTAACTGCTTCAATTGTGTTTTAGCTATCAATTCTATTTTTAGATTTATGCATTTAAATATAAAGACAATGATTTAGTTGGGGTAGCTTTTGTTGATTCCCAAGTATTCACTGTAAATCTAATGGCGATACGAAATGTTATTGTAGCTGCTGACATATCTAGAAGTATATCATTAGTTCGTTTTCAGGTGTCTAAAAGTTATGTGAAAATTGTATTTTGTGATTATGGTACAGCGTATTGAGTATTTACAATTTTTTACAATTTTTAGGTGGAACATAAATCTTTGGCATTAGTTAGCAGGGTAACAATAATTTTCATTTATTCACTTGTTATTTATGTTTAATTTATTATTTTTTATTATAAATAGCATATATATTTATATAATTACATCTATATATAAACACATACATACATACATACATACATACATACATAAAAATCCTGAAATTAAAATTTCTAATGCAAAGTTTAAAAAATTATTTAGGTTTGCAACCTGTAATATTTGTTTTGTGGTAAATATGATTAAATTGATGGTGTAGCTATGGGGTCTCTACCTGCTCCTGTTTTAGCCAATTTATTCATGGGGACTTAGAAATTCAACTTAGAAAATAATTATTTAAATGAATTTAATGGGAATAAACCTTTATTTTATAATAGATATGTAGATGATATTTTTGCACCATTTTACTCAAAAACCAATAGTACTATTTTCTAGAGTATTTAAATTCTAAACATCCTAAAATGATTTTTACATGTAAACATGAACAAAATGGTATCTTAATATTTTTAGATGTTTGCATTGAAAATAATCATGAGTTGATCACTAATATTTACCATAAGGAGACATATACTGGTCTATTGACAATTTTTTTTTAGCTTTACCTTTATTAGCTACAAACTTGGGCTAGTTAACTTGGGCTAGTTAAAACTCTTACTGACTGTTGTTTTAAATTTAATAATACCTGGTTTGGTTAAGACTTACTTCCAAGAAATAATAAATCAAACATTGTTTACAAATTTAATTGTACTAAGTGTAGTTGTCAAAGGCCTCTTTTGATTGCTTTTCTATTTTGGTTTCTGCTCAAACAAGTATGAATTAGAAATAAAGAAAAGCTTGCATATAAAGGCCCTGTTTAAATAAAAAAATCAAATAAAAAATTCTTGAACTACTTTGACTATTATGACGTTAATTTAATCAAAAAATTTTTTAAGTTACTTGTGTTTTTTTTTATTGAGTTCTGAGACTGACACATTTTGTTATTGTATTTTAATGGTCTTTTTAACCCTTTGTAATGGATTTTATAATAGATTTTTGTAATAAACTAATTAATTTGTATCCCTTATAAAAACGGTTTTTTAATGCTTTTTGTAAATTTTATTGATGATGAAATATGTAGTTCGAAACATGTATAACAAACATTTTAAAAGTGTTGTTAATTTTATTCAAATTGACTTGCAAATGATAATGATCAAATTTAATCAGCCATAATTAATTTTGGGAGTTCAAAGTATCGTTTTTTCCAATAATCAACAATCATTAAGCATTGATTGGCTGTTGTTTTGGGCGCTGTATATATATATATATATATATATATATATATATATATATATATATATATATATATATATATATATATATAAATTTACTTATTAGGATACAAAAACTTTAGAAGCATACACATCTGAGTTTTTTATTGATGGTTCTCAAGTAGGATTTGTAGGTATGTTTATTTCTTCTAGGTAGGTATAGGTAAGTAGGTTTATTTCTTCTGCTACTACTACTGCTGCTATATTTTATAGTTATAAAATATAAAAAAGTGATACAAAATTAAAATATCAACTACAATAGATCATACCTAGATATATTTTTATTTTGTGTTTTTGTATTTCTTACTAAAACTGAAACCATAAAAACTTTTAACATTTTTTATATAAGTTCTTAGCATTGCATGGTTTTAAAAAAAATAATATTTATATTTTTTATTTTGTTTTATTAAAGTCATTTGCCTCACCAAGACAGTAGGTTATTTTCTTTTCTTTTTTTTTGTGACTACAACGTTTAACTCTTTTTCTCCAAAATACAAACTTTGATAGACAAGACCCCTGTGTTGAGAAACAATTTAAGTGATGTACTACTAAATGTGTAAGAGATAAAACTAGCATACTCATAAAGCTAGCAGGCGCTCTACTACTATTACTGCATTACATTTGCACCAAAATGATAAACATTAGGGATCGTCCATAAATTATGCAATGCTAAGTTTATTTAAAAAGGAGATCTTAAGCTTTTTTACGTGGCGATTTTCATTATACTTAATGCGTTGTTATGATTTATCTAAAGGCGAGGGAAAACTTTTGACCTTTTTTGTTTTGCTTATTAGTGAAATTTAGCGTTGCGTTATTTATGGACGATCCCTTAGGAGGTTTTACTTTTACTTTAAAAACAATATTTTTTATTTGTTTAAATGAAATTTACTATACTATATTAATTAGTAACAAATTTTTTTTTCCTAGTTTCTGATGCTGAACGAAATATTGTTATATTTTCATACCAACCAGAAGGTAAATTTTAAATGTTTGATTTTAAGTTTGAGACTTAACTAACAATGCTAAAATATCCAAAAAAAGTGATTAGTATTATCTTATAAAAGGTGATTTTTTACTTAGGTTTACAGTTTTATGTTGGGTAATTTTTTGCAAAGATTTTTTAATAATAATATTATTATTATTATTTAATCCTCAACATACTAAAATTTTTGAAATTGTTTTGTTTTTAATATTTTGGAAAGGTTTTTTTATGTTAAGAAAAAAAGTTGTATGCAATATTTGCAACTTTGCTTGTAGTTAAAAGTTTTTATTAAATCTCTGTTGATAATACACAAAAAGTTGGCTGTTAGGTATGTACTTGCATGTTTTTTTTTAAATTTTCTGCAAAATATTCTGCAAATGTTTCTTCCAGAATTAAAGAGTCAGTTAAACATTGTAACATAATAATAATAATAATACTTAAAAGTATTTAAAAATGCTTGAAATGGTTTGACTAAATATTAAATTTGATTATATAAAAATAAAAATTTAATTCTTGCTTATGATGTTTCTTGTTTTGCTTGAAAATAGTTTTTTGTAAATTTAAATAAATAGTTTATTATTAAAATTATATTGCTGTACATAAAAAATATATTGCTGTTTATTAAAAAATAATTGCTGCAATTTAACTTGAGTTATAAAAAAAAAAGTTTAACTTGATGCAACCGTTTTTAAAAATTTTATTTTGAGTAAAATAAATAATATATTTAGGAAGGAAAGCCAAAAAAAATTGTGATAAAAATGAGCTAATTTTTTTTAAAGAATATTTAGTAATATTTTTAAATAAATCTGACAGTTTAACCCAATTAGAGTATGGCAATCATTATACTTTAGTTTTAAGTTGTCAATCATTAATTTATGAAGAAAACAATTTTTAACTGATCATTAACCAATCATTAAGTCTTCAGAAATATTTCAAATTTCCTCGTGAAGTATCTGGAAAAAAAAGTGGTTTATGAGTATCCCTCACTCACACTGGACTTTAGCAAAATATAGCTCTGTTTGTAAGTTACATTGGCCAGATGATGCTAAGTTTGCTTTATATCATAGTAAATTGAGACAAAAAGTTGGCTGTTAGGTATGTACTTGCATTTTTTTTTTTCAAATTTTCATTAATCCTCCATCAATTTATCTCTAAAAGTCTTCACCATAAAAAAAAAGAAAAACTTTATCTTCTTTAAAAATAGGTATCAAAAAAGATGAATTAAAAGAGTATAAAATATTTTAAAATTGAAAATTTGTTTATTAATTATTTTTATTTATAATAAATTTATTAACTTTAATTTTAATAAACTTAAGTATATTTTTTAAATCAAAATTAAATTATATATTTTTAACATCTAAATTAAATTTTTTTTTTATCAGAATAAAATTATATATTTTTATTAAATTAGTTAAATCATATATTTTTTATCAGAATCAAATTATGTTTTTATGATCTTTGCCTTAAGTTTAAAAAATCAATAAATACAAACAAATTAAAATTAAACATTAAACTTTTTTGTTGTGATCTTCTTGAACTTTTGAAGTAGCTTTAAAAGTTCAAGAAGATCACAACATCACAGTTCCTTAAACAATCAGAAATCTTTTAAAGATTAAAAAAATGTAGAGTTCAAAAAAAACTTTAACAGCAAATTAAGTGAAACGTCAATTAGAGTTTGCAAAGAAGTATGTAAAAAATGCTGATATCATATTGGAAAAAAGTTTTGTGGTCAGATAAGTCAAAATACAACATGGTCTCATCGGATGGAATCCAGAAAGTGTGGCAAAAAAAGAGAAGCTTATAAAGTGAGTTTTTTTATTTTATTTATTCACCTTCCCAAGATCGAGATGGCCATTACAATTGAGGAGGCTACTTTTGTGGTAACAACCTTCTCTCAACTCTATAACTTCCAAAGACAAACCTTAATGACAAGTCCACTGTGTGGAGAAACAAGTTAAGTGCAGTACTACCAGGGACGTGGTGGGGATTGAACTCAAAACTTCTCGCTTATAAGGTGAGTGTTCTACCACTACATCACTACCGCAAGAGTTGTTTGTAAGTGCTATGAAGGAGGAATGTGATGGTTTGGGGTAGTATGAGTTGGAAAGGAGTGTAAAGATTGACATTTATTGATGACAAAATGGATGCTTCGATGAAATTCTTAAAGCCAACTTGCAATCGTCTACTAAAAAATTGAGAATGAGAAACGACTTCATAATCCAGCAGGATAACAATTCAAAACATACCTCTAAGAAAACGAAGCTATACTTAAATACAAATAACATCAATGTTTTGGAATGGCTGTTTCAACGTCTGGACTTGAATCCTATAGAAAATTTGTGGTATAGTTTGGATAGAAAAATTGGGAACCGAGCATTTAGATGCAAAGATGACTTGAAAGAAGCTATTGGATAATATGACAACAGATGAAATCCAAAATTTGGTCAACTCAATGCCAAATCATCTAGGTAAGGCCGTCAAGGCCAAAGGAGGCTCCACTTGATACTAAATTCCATGAATTTTGATCAGTTAGGCATTATTTTTGAACTAGACGATTATTTTTTTGCCATACCTTTTTAATTAGTTTTTTAAATTCCCATCATACAATAAAAACTATGATTTTTTTTTGAAAATTTGTATTTGTAAAGTATGCAGTTTTTTTTTTAATACTGTGTATATCATCACTTAACAACTCAGCTTAAGTGACAAGAAGCAACTTTTTAAAGAAAAATGTGTCTAATTCACACATAGCAATAAAAAAAACTATAGATTTTTTTACGCATAAATATTTATGTTCAAAGTATTAATTAGTCTTTTTTTTCCCCTCCATAAACGTTATCTGTGTTTATGGATATATTTGTAGTTTATTATTCATAATTTCACCCTTGAGCAACAGTTTTCCATAGTAACATTTTAAAAGCATCAGAGCTTGAGCCAAATTAACTTGCATGTTATTGAAGATAAAATAGTGTTATTTTTATTTAGCACTTGAAAGTTTTGGTGGTCATAGACTTTTGCAAAAAGCAGATATCAACATAGGATCTCATGTAAACACAATGATGCGTATAAAACTTATACAAGATGAGCAAAGTTTAAGCAAAAGTTCTGAACAACGTCAACTTATTATTTTGCGTATGTTTATATTTGTATATATATATATATATATATATATATATATATATATATATATATATATATATATATATATATATATATATATAATATATATATATATATATATATATATATATATATATATATATATATATATATATATATATATATATATATATATAGTATTTTAAAATCTATGTAGATTATTGTATATTAATGTTTAGTTGCTAACAGTGGTTTATATATATAAATTTAAATTCATTTTAAACTTTTTTTTGGTTATATTCTTTAATATTTTTATTTTTGTAGCTACATTAGATGGCAGCATTGGCATTCTCTTTCCATTATCGGAAAAACCATTTCGTAGGTTGACTATGCTTCAAAATAAGTTAGTTGATTGTTTACCTCACAAAGCAGGTTTGAACCCAAGAGCATTCAGGTGAATATCTAACTGTATATAATTTTGTGATTTAACATGAATTAAAGTATATTTTTCTATTTTTGTCTTCTATTTTTATAATCTTAAGAAAATAAATACAAACATTAATACATACATACATACATACATACATACATACATACATACATACATACATACATACATACATACATACATACATACATACATACATACATACATACATACATACATACATACATGCATACATACATACATACATACATACATACTAGTTAGTATAGTTTTAAGAAGCAAGTTGTTAAGCAGTAGTTATTTTTTTTTCGTTGCAATTTTAATGTTTTTTAATTTTCTTAATTTTTATTTTAACCCGTTGCTCTATAAATTACATTTTTAATGTTTTTTTCATTTTCTAAATTTTTATTTTAACTCGTTACTCTATAAATAACATTTTTAATGTTTTTTCATTTTCTTAATTTTTATTTTAAAGTGTATGATTACCAATTGTTATAAAATTATGAATAAAAAAAGTTAAATTTTTTAGTTTTCAAAATTTGTACTGTGTTAAACGGATTTTTAAAAACAAAACTTAAAAAAATGTTAACAAATATTAACAATTAACTAAAACACAACCATTTTATGTGCATATTGTAGTATAGTTTTTCTTAACTCACAGGGCATTAGATGTACCTCTTCGCACTCTCACAAATCCACATAGAAATATTTTAGATGGACAGTTATTAGATAAATATGCTCAACTTAGTTTTCAAGAACGGTTCGACATTGCGAAGAAAATGGGAACAACTTCTGGACAGGTAATAATTTAGCAATGGTTAAAATCTTTTTTGTTTCTTTTTTGATTATATCAACTTGATTTTGCATAGTAAATGCTTAGATTTCTCTGACATCTTAGTTTTAAAAGCTAATTATAAAAGTTACTTTTTTTTTAAAAAAATTTATAATTTGTATTATAGTAAAAAGTTTTTAAATTTTTTTTTTCTAAATTTGAACTGTGATATGTTTTGCTACCACCAGATAAATCCTTATTGCAGAGGCTACATATAGTTATAGAATTCATAATGTATAGAATACATGCTGCTGTCATTAATATGAAATTTTAAAAATTAGTTATGTTCATAACTTGTAAAATGGTTAATAATCAAAAAATTAATACTATCGAATATACTTCTCTCAACAATAAATACATAATTGTAATACATGAATACAATAGAAGGCTGATACAAATGTTTGTGTTTTGGCTAGATCTCTTATATTTTGAGTAGCCTCAAAAAAATGGTGACAAAATATAATCCCTTTTTAAAAACATGCTACTAAAAATGATTATATCAAATGTTATAACAGAAATATGCATAGTGGTACACATGGTGACCAAAAGCTGAGTGCTCTCCTGATCCAGAAGCTATTTTAACTACTAATTCTTCTGTTACAGTAAAACTGAAAGTACTTATGAAACATACAGCTGATAGAATTGAAAAAATGAACAGAGGCACATAAAAAAATACAACAAACAGCAAGATTTTTCTAAGTTTATGGGGCTTGGATGGAATATTGGAACAGACGCAACATAACCAGAAGATTGATAATGCTAATAACTGAGGTGCCACTGCTTTATTGGCAACATCTACAACTCCATTTGCGATATTTCCTTATGTAAATAAGAAAAAAATTTATTGGTTAAATATGTCACCTTAAAATATGAGATTCTATTGTCCAGTGAGATTAGATTGTCCAGTGAGATTAGATTACAGAGATTCTATTGTCCAGTGAGATTAGATTACAGAGGTTCTATTGTCCAGTGAGGTTGATTACAGAGATTCTATTGTCCAGTGAGGTTAGATTACAGAGATTCTATTGTCCAGTGAGGTTAGATTAAAGAGATTCTATTGTCCAGTGAGGTTATATTATAGGGACTCTATTATCCAGTGAGGTTAGATTACATAAAAGAGTCAAACTATTATCTGTCAAAATAAAACATATCAGGTATACTATATATATATATGTACTATCAAAATGAACATAATAAAAACTAGTTTGTTTTCTTCAGATTCTTCGAAAAAAAACTGTTAACTTCCTCTGAAACAATTTCAAAAAAGCAAATTTGTAGTGTAATTTTTATTTTCATCCAATTAAAGCACATTTTTAAATATACCTTTGGCACATGGCATGTTTAAGACAAAAAAACGTATTAACACGTGTTATTACATGTTTTAGAAGTCTTAAACATGTGTAGTGCCCGCTGGGTTGTCGCTCTAGGTAAATATCAATTTAAATCTTTGGTAAAAAATGATGTATTTAATGACTGGATTTAAAACATCTATCTAACAGGAAAATCAGTTCCATGATACTGTTTCAATAATCTAAAAAGTTTTCAATCATAAACTTGTTATCAAAACGAGGCTGTGAAAAAGATTAATTAATTCTTCTAATAAATTTTTTAGGAGTTGTTTAGCTAAAAAGTTTGATCTATTATTAAGTAACTACAACCATGGAATCTAATTAATTAAAAGGGAATCATACTAGCCTACTCTAAAATGTTCTGTTTTTGCTGATTCTACTTCAGTTGGTTGCAAATAGATCAACTGATTATGTTACAGAGTTATATTGATATTTCTATCAAGCTAAGTGAAGTTTTTGAAGTTTCTACTTAAAGATAGAACCACCAATAGATAGTTCGATATAATAACTACTAATAGATAGATCGTAAGACTTATTTGAAAAACTCATTTAAATATAATGGTGATATTCATATAATAATGCAGCAAATATTTCTTGCAATACATTTTGGTGGATTTCATAAAGTAAGGAAAAAAAATCATTTGTCTATTTTATACCATGTGCTTATTATTCTATGAATTTAATTTATTCGATGCTATCCAATGCTTTGTTGACTCTGCTTTATTGAGTTTGTGCACTAATTAAAGAATGATGATGCAGTTTACTCTAGTTTGTTTTTTTAGCAGAACACCAAGTTAACAGTTTTACAAATTTAAATCTAATAAAAACATAAAATATAGTTTGCAACTTTATTTAAGGGAAATGGGTGCAGCTTGAACAGGGGTAGCTTTTAAAAAATATGTCTGTGAAGCGTTCTTGAATTGTAAAATTAAATATTTTGAGAAGATAATATGGTGTACCCTCTCGGATGCCACTTATCTTTCCTGAAATTTGACAATCTATATGATTGGTTTGTTTTTAAAGACAAAACTTAAATATTTTGGTTTAAAGTTGTTTTTCAAAGGATTTTTTCCTGACTGCGTTTCAAAGGATTTTTTCCTGACTGCGTTTCTAGCAAGTTTGTTAAGCATTTAAAAACGTTTGAAATTTTTCAAAACATCGAATACTTCTTAGTTTTAATAATATATTTAAATTGATTCTTTTAAAAATGAATTGAGTCAACTAAAAAATATATTTTTTAAGGATTCTTGATGATCCCGATGAACCGAGTCTAATACTAAGGATAGTTGAAATTATTGGTAGAATGTTATGAAAATGTTTAACTAATATTAAGAAATTTCATTTAGATATTGGATGACATGATGGATATTGAGCGAGCTTCAAATCATTTATAAAAAAAATTGATGGTTATAAAATAACCAAGAGCTCTAATGCATTTGCGATATCACAAAGCATTTGCGATTTCACAAAGCATTTGCGATATCACAAAGCATTTGCGATATCACAAAGCATTTGCGATATCACAAAGCATTTGCGATATCACAAATTTCTGCTATGTAAATATTTTCAAAAACTTAATAAAAAAGAAATTTTTTTTTGTCTATTTTTATTTTTTTCAATTTCCCCTTTAACTCTCACTAATACTTTCTCATAAAAATCACTTGAACTCAAATCCCCACCTGCTCAAACATTCGCTAAGTCAAAGCGTTTTATATTTTCCAATAACTCGAACTTTAGAAGGAAAATTAAAGTAAAATTGTAGTTACAATTATTATTTTTACTACAATTTATTAATTAACTCATGATATATAATTAACTTAAACTTTTTGCCCTTAAGCGCAGCTGAATTTCTCATCAAAATTTTAAGAAATTTATTTCAAAACCTTGCATTTCAATGCACAATAGGCCAGAATGGCAAATTTTGAGACAAAATTAATAACTAATTTATTATAATAGCTCTATTCATCAAATTTGGCACGAGTACTAATATGAGGTCTGGGCTTTTTTTAAAGGTATTTTTATTATCAATTAGATAAACAAACTAATTGAAGAACTTGGTTTGGTTGTTGACATGTCTAAAGCTAATGGCATTATCAAGTTAGAAAAAGTTAATTTCTACATAAGTGCGCAAAATAACTCCACACTTGTGTCTAGGAGTGATAGCTACACACCGGTGTGCAGGAAAACTTCAAACTTTCCGCGAGAGTGTAATGCGTAGCCTTGTCTAGTAGGGGTAAGTTGAGCAGCTTTGAGAAAAATAAAAAAAACTAACTATCGAACACAAAGAAACAACTTTTTAGAGAAATAATAGAACGGTACATTATTTATATATATTTTTTAAATTATTAATTTTTTAAATCGGTCTTTAAAGTTCACGATAATTTTATAAAATTGTATCTTTAATTTAATGACACTTTCTTACTATTTAATTTTTTCTATTTTTTTACTTACATCATTAAAGTGTATAAAATTAAAGTTTATAAACTACACACACGCTTACTGTTAGTGAAAGTTTTATTGATGATTCGCCGGCGAATCAAATATCAAATAAATAAATATGTATGATACGAAACATGGGCCCATGTTTCGTATCATACATATTTATTTGTTGATTATTCAACTTACCACACACTATTGCTCAACTTATCCCGCAGGGGCAGGTTGAGCAGCTCCGCAAACTTTAGGCAATATCTTCTCAAAAAAAATTTAAAACCATACTTTTTTCTTGACGAATTTTTAGCAGGTTTTGAGTATTGAAAAAATATGTAAATCCGACGCACCGTTCATGAAATCTGTTAAATTATGTAAAAATTGTTCAACTAGCCCCGCTCTACCCTATAAGTCTGGATGCAAGTTTTTGTAGAGAAAATATTTTTTTAAAGTTTCGTTGTTTGAGTACTAGCCCGTGTAATATTTGAATAGAAAATGAGACAATGTATTATGCAAAAATAAATCAATCATAAACAAATCTGCCAATCTCAAAGGTATGAATATATTTATCAATAAAGATTTCTGCAATGATAAATATCATAATATTTAAATGTTCTCAAATATTTATATATTATGAATGTTTTAAACAATAAAAGTTTTGAAAAGTTAATTTTTGATTTTTTTTCATGATTTTTCAAAAACTTTTTTGCATGTAAAATTTTTTTTTTAATCAAACTCTAACTAGTTTACTAACCACATCATATATTGATCAGTATAACTTTAAAATAACAAAAGACCTTAATTCAATATCTATTAAAGGATAAAACGAGGTGAAATGGGACATGACAATATTTCAGCAGAAAATTTAATAACACAAAGTTTTTTTTATATCTGTAATAGGTTTACTTCATATTATAGTGTTTTTTGAGTTTTAAAAGTATTTTTTTTTCTTCAAATTATTTATGAATATGCAAAAATCTAACAAATTTCCTGGATTTTAAAAATATTATTAATATTAAATATTCATGTGTTGTTTTCACATATTGTTATGTCTATAGTTTTTAATTAATCGCTAATGTCTAATTAATTTACTGAAAAAATATGATTAACATGTGGTTAAGAGAACTATCTAAAGGTTTTCTTACTCCTACGGTGGGGCAACTTTGTTCAGCAGACTTGGGGTAAAATGGGACGTTCGCTTCTTCCCTTTTTAAGTGTACTATATTTTAATTTTTATAATTAATTTTTTTTGTAAAAAATGGAACAGAAAAATTTTGTTTAGGTTTATGATTTCATTGTTTACTTTATGTTACTGTGTTTTTTTTACATTGAAAAAAAATAATTACATAGGATTTCTTTGTTTTGCAATATTACCCTGATTGTTAAAAATATCTTTTACAGTAGATATTGTTTTATTGACAAATATATTTTCGCATATTTTAAATTCAGTTTAAATTATTTTATTAATTTTTCACTATAACTCTTTTAAAATTTAATCTCATTATAAGTTTGATTGTGGTTTTTATCTTATTTTCATTAATTTTTATCCTTATTTGGATTTTGATTGATGTAATTAAAAAAAACATAATTTTTAAATTATGGATATAGTATGTTGGATATGTGTAATGTTTTTTCAGACACCAAGAAAGTACAAATGACAAATCGGTTAAAGCCTGATGCTCATACAATAAAAGCTCCTGTGATGGCTCTTGAATCTGGGAGGTTTTCACTACAAGCAGCTGCACCAAAGTATAAAATTTTAAAATAAAATAAAAAAATATTTAAAAATATAAGTTAAATATAGGAATAAAGAAAATAAAGGTTAACAAAGTAACCTCTTACAATAATATTTTGATGAATAATTCTTACAATAACTTATATTTTGATGAACAAAATAAATTTATTTTTAATAAAACACAATAAGGTGAACTTTCAACATATCTTTGTCAAGCATCTAGTATGCATTATGAACTTAATGTTAGAGAAACAAAGCAACTTGCATATCATTATGCAGCTAAAAATGATTTTAAAACAGAAAACTGGAAAAAGAGTAAAGCAAAGCTGAATGGTTATATTTATTCTCAAATTGTACAAAATTAACTATTCGTATGCCAGATGCTACCAGCCTTAGTCGAACAACTAGTTTTAATCGCATATATGTAGATACTTTTTTCAAAAATCTTGACAGTGTACAGAAGCACTATAAGTTTTTTGCTGATTGCATTTACAATATTGATGAAACCGCTCTTACAACAGTTCATAACCCAGCGAAAGTGATTGCTAATAAAGGAGTAATACAATTAGGACAGGTAACTTCTGCTAAAAGAATAAACCTAGTTACAATATTGGGCTGTATAAATGCTCTTTATTAAGAAATTCATTTTCATCGTTTTTGATATTTCCTCGTTTCCGTTTTCGCAGCAACATGCTTAAAGGTGCACCAACAAGTACCAGCTGCTAATCCTAGTGGATGAATAAAAATAGAAATGGTTTTATCATTTTGTAGAGTATGGACATCCTAGCGTGGTTCATCCATTACTTTTAATAATGGACAAAAGTCATTTATCAAATGAACTGATTGATAAAGCTTAGGAAAGTTATGTTGTGTTATTGACATTGCCAGCCCATTGGAGCCACAACCTCCAACCACTTGATGGATCAGTATTTGGTCCATTAAAAAAGTTTTGTAATTTAGTGTGTGACTTATGGTTAAAGGCACATCCAAATGTCCTATGACAACATATGACATTTCTGAAAATTTAGGGTTATTAGGCTTATGAAAAATTAGGCTTATGAGAGAATCTTTACTTCCTAAAACATTCAAAACAGTTTTAAAGCAGCAGACACTTTCTCGTACAATTCATATGTTTTCAGTAATGTTAACTTTTTATGTTGTTATGTATCTGATTTGCCGACTCCAGCCTTATCAGCTTGTGCAGTTTCTCAACCGGTTCAAAAAAGGTTTTCTGTCACTCTAACTAAACTTATCTTCATACAATATATAAAAGGTTTTATGAACATTATAAACTTTTTATATATTGAATTAAGATAAACAAAAAATGTAAAATAAAAAGATAAAAAAACGAAATTGAAAATATATATTTATATTTTCAATATGAATACATTTGTGTGAAAGACTATTTATTTGAAAATAATGAAGCGCTTTTGTTCAAAAATAGAACACCTAGTAAATAGTACTAAGATTTTATGAATTGATGGCGTTTAGAACTGACCAAAAGAAAAGCTAAAAGCAATGCATCTTTTAGAACTTAATCATCCACACCTGAAGTTATTGCTCGTTATTTTATTGCTTTAAAAAAAGATTTTAACTTGGCAAAAATAGGAAAGATTCTTTCTGCCGCATTTTTTGTTGTTTAAAAATTAAAAAATTGACTTTATGACAATTAGATTAATGAAGGCCTATCACACGCCATTTACCATCTAGCTCAATGAAAAGTAATCAATTTTTGCAGCTCGATAAAATGTTCCTCACAACAAGAAAATTGATAGTCATTGTATTTTACATTTGGTTGGCCAGTACACGTGTCATTAGATTGAAATTTAAAGTGTCATAACATTGAAATTTAAAGTGTCATAACATTGAAATTTAAAGAAAACAATATAACATTAATTTGTATCAATCTTATACTATTATTTTTATTATTATTACTTTTGCAGCCGTAAAATATACATAAAATATATACATACAGCAAGCAGGAAAAATACCCTACTTTAAATATCCAGTTTTATGAATATTTGTTCCGAATTTTGTCCCCAACCAGTGATCTAGTTTAGTTTTAAAAGAAAGTACAGTTGAGTAGAAAGTTACTTGCTTGGTAGATTTAGTTATTTTAGTCTTTCGTAGTATTGAAAATGTCTCCAACTTGAAGCCCATTTTGTTGCTTTACGTTGAACAGATTCAACCAAAACTACGTCAGTTTAATAAATACGGGGCCCAAACAGAGACTGCGTATTCAAGATGTGGTCTTATAAACACTTTATAAATTTGAGAGCCATTTTTTCATCGAATGTCTTTTTTAGCATACAAAGGACTTGAAGAGGTTTGGAGACAACTGAATATATGTGCTCTACTTAAGGTTAGATGTAAAAAATGACTCCTAAATCACGTTTTCTAGTAGAGTCTCTTAGGCCTTCATTTATAACTTGGGTATTTTGCAAAGAGTAACTGTATATATGGTTGGTTTTACCAAAAAGGATCATACAGGATTTTGAAATGTGTAATTTAAGTAACCAACTGTTTGATCACTCGTATACTAATCGTAGAAGATCCTTCAGATCAACGAAATAAGTCTGCGATAAAGTTTTAGAAAAAAGTTTAGTATCGTCGGCAAATATTTCAGAAGTTTCAGTAAGTTGGGCAAAATCGTTTGTGAATAGAATAAAGAGAAGCGGGTCGAAAACAGAACCTTGAGGAACACCACTGAGAACATCAACCCAGACAGAGCTAGTATTGTTAACTGTAACGCATTGCTTTACAGTTAACAATATTAAAAATATTAAAAATCTCTATTAGATTGGTTAGGCAAGATTTACGATGAAGGAAGCCATGTTGTTTTGTAGAGCGCAAATTGTTATTGTTGAAGTGCTTCAAGATTTTATTATTTCAATGATTTTGTACGCAATCGAGGTTAGTAAAATAAGTTGATAGTTTTCAGGAAGTAGTTTATCTCCTTTTTTTATAGATCGGACTAATATTTGCTCATTTCCATAGAGTTGGTACTATTTCAGAATTAAAAGATTCATAGAAGATTTTTGTAAGCGGAATTGCGAAGCTGTTGGCACATATTTTAAGTATTAAAGGGTGCAAGCCGTAAGGTCCGAAAGATGTCTAAGGGTTTAGATCGGTAAGTTTATTAATAATGTCTGCAATAGAGAAACATAAGTTGTTATTATAATTGCATAAAGGTTTAACATCACTTTTATTTAACAATAGAAACTTTTTAGAGCTTTCAAGAGTAAGCATAGATTTGAATTAAGAGTTCAGAAGTTCAAGTATATCGGGAGAAGTTTCAGTAATTTCCCATGAGGCATTTTTGAGAGAAAAAATTTTATCTTTAATTTTTAGCTGGTTGGTAATGTATTTGTCGACGAATTTCGCGTTGTTCTGAGGTCTTGATTTTTTTTTTTTTTTGATTTAATATTTTTACTTTAATTATTTCAGCTTTAACGGAACGATTAAGATGATTGCAACGAATGTAATTTGTTTTGTAATATGATCGTAATAATAAAGTAATATCTTTTCTGCGCATGACTCGTGACCGAAACCAAAAAATCAAAAGTAAATTAAAGAGGTTTTTAAATTCTTTTCGCTAATCGCAAAACAGAGACAAATACCGAAGAATCCTACGGTCGGATTTCAAAAAGTTTGAAATATGGAAGAATTTATATATTTTATTGTTGATGCTAAATAATTTATTTTAATAACATACTTTTATAAAAATATTTTCATATGTATATTTAATTTTGTTCAATAAAAATAACAGTTTTATTAATTACATTTTTTTTTTCAAAATTAAAATCTGAAAATTACACAGTATGTAAATTATTTTGTATAAAAGTATTATTTGATAGAAAAAATGAATAACGAAAATAAAACTTAAAAATTATAGAACCAAATTGGTTCAATTTAGTTCAATTGTAACAACTCTTAGAATTTAGAGACGAAAAACTATTTATTCTGCCAACTGAAAGATGCAGCGATGATCATCAAAGTTACTGTAAAAAGATTGTTAATCCTAATAATTCTTTAAAAAAACATTGATACTATCGATGAACAGGGCCGTCCCAAAGAGATTTTAAAGGAGGGGGGGGGGGGGAAGTGACGAAGTGATGTGTCTCTTTTTTGCCGACTAAAGCCAAAAAATTTTTTTTTGCCTATTAACTTATCTAGAAAAAAAAAGGTCCTCGTATTCCGACTGCCAACTATAAATCCAATTTTGCCGACTGAGAAAATTCGTAGGGGGGCTGACACCCCCCTACGCCCTTTCCCCTCTAACAAGACCAATTTCTTCACTCTTTCTTTTATTTCAGCACTATTTCTTTTTCTACTTTTTTAAAATGCTTTTTTTAAAGCTTATAATTTTATGATATAATTTTATATTTAAAAGATCAACCATTTTGAATCAATAACATACTGAAGAATTTGTCTAGTAAGCTGATAAAGTTATAAACTTATAGTTATAAAGTTATAAAGTTGATATAAGCTGTTATAAAGTATATAAGCTGAGTAAAAAAACTTAGAAAAAGGTTTTAACCATCAATATCTTGTATAAAACATTTTTTAATTCACAAAATAACTAGAGACCGCTCACTTACAATAACTAGAGACCGCTCACAATAGTAAAGTATAGTTTTGCAACTGTATTAAGACAGCATTTCTTTTCGGAAAGCGTAGTTGACTGCTTGAACTAATTCAATAACAATACTATCTTAGTTATTTCCTTATATTGTTTCAAAACAAGATTCAACAACATACGTTTAACAAAGTTAAGCCTTTTTACGTACTAACTACTACATACCTCGATTAGACATACTGGCACATTAATAACAGTCAGCTTATAATCTATAAGAAGAATGATTTAAATCTGTTTTACTTTCCTTTCTGCCCTGTTTGTTTTTGAGTTCATTGAATTGAGGTGAAAATGTTCAATAACATTAATTTAAAAAAATTAGTTTGAAAAAATCAATATCTGAGTTTATTTTGATTAGCAAATTTTTTCTAGACAAAAATTCTAAACCTTTTTTAGTCAAAAAATTGACGAATTCATCAGTAGCTGCAAAGTAGCACCTATTATTCTGAAAAAAAATATTTACTAACTTAATTATGTACACGACTATATTAAAGGGTTTTGCTGTTTTTATACGGTTGATTGCATTTGTGATAAACATCTTCCTTAAGCACGGAATGTGAGTAGACTGGAGTTTTAAATGTTTGATTTATTATATCTGAGTTATTGTTTTAAATTTCTTTTTATTCAAAAACTTTTTCAAATGTATAAAATTATTATAGAGTAATATGAGGTACTTCATTTTATCATTGAGTTTGTGTTTGTTTAAAGTTGAATGTGTCTCTTCAAATTTTTCTGCATTTGTTAATGAAGCTCTTTCAGTTCATAACCGCTATCGAAACCTACACCGTGCTCAACCACTTGAAATAGATAAAACACTAGTATCCAAAGCTGAGGCCATTGTAAAAAATGCAGCAAAAAGCGGCGGATTTGGCGACGTTGCTGCTGGAGAAAATGTTTATCAAGTTTGTGCCACCTATGACGTAGGCCTAAATGCAGCTCGTGTAACAAGAGCGTGGTATGTACAGTTTTTCAAAGCATTTTTTAATTTTTTGTTACTTAGTGTTAGATCTAAAACACAAATGTATAAAGTGTATAAAGTCTGCACAATGCTATTCTTATTTAAAAAACTGATTGTTCCAACAAATGTTGTGGTTAAAAACTATAAACATGGTTTATATACTTCAGGTATGACGAGGTTTGCTTGCCGACAGTTGACTTTAAAAAATCAAAGTTTGACAATGCTGAAAGTTTTACACAACTGATTTGGAAAGATACAAGAAGATTTGGAATTGCTAAAGCTAATAGTAAAAAGGGAAACCAAACCTGTTCTTATGTAGCTGGGCTATATAGACCACCTGGAAATATTGAAGAGTTTTATGCAGAAAACATTGCTCTTGGTAAACTAAAAAAAAATGACTACTGCGATAATTTAAAACGAAGTACATTGCATACTTCAAAACATGTTGGTGAGTTGAAAAAATAACACGCAGAACAGATATTTTACAAATCAAAAGTTTTTCCTAAAAATAGTTCTCATACATTAGTATTTTTGTAATTTATTGTTTTAAACCTTTATTCTCTCTCTCTCTCTCTCTCTCTCTCTCTCTCTATCTATCTATCTATCTATCTCTCTTTTACACACACACACACATACACACACGCACACGAACTCTCTTTTTATATGTATATACATAAATACATATATACTTATACATTTATTTGGGTATATATATATATATATATATATATATATATATATATATATATATATATATATATATATATATATATATATATATACATTAGGTGTCTCAAAAAATAAGATATTAGCTTTCAGGCAGTTTTGTTTGTAATTCTGTACATTAAAAATAAAAGTAAAAAAGTATTTGAAAAATTTAATTTTTATTCCCCCCACTTTCTAGAACTCTTTTTTAAAGAACTATTCATTTCTGCCATCTATTTTTAGTAACTAAATATAAAAGTAGATTTCATGTTTTAATTACAAAAACATGTTTTAATACTGATTACAATTGTAAATACTGATCGATGAGATATTATTTGATATAAACAAAAAGTTTAGATTAAAAACTTAAGTAATCAATTATATTAAAATACTATTATCATTCAAAATTTGAAAGGAGAAAATTTTATATAAGGAGTAATACTATTAATGGATTTTTAAACAGTTTTATATTTATAAAATTTGTAATCATTTTTATCTAGGTATTATAGTATATATAAAAGATATTATCTAGGTATTATAGTATATATAAAATATATATTAAAATAGTAAAAAACTTCATTTTATATAGGACACCTGTAAAAAACTTTATTCATATTAGGACACCTGAAACAACACTCTTTTTTTTAACTATAAATATATATTTTAAAAAATTTGATTATTGTAGATTTTCTATGATTCGTTTTCTTTACATGAGCGTGTACGACCAAATATATTCACAAACGCATAAAATAAACCATGCAAGTTTTTATGTAACGCATACATTTAAAATATTTTTTGTTTGATGAAACTATAAACTTTTAAAGTATTTGTTTTATTTTATTCAGATAACAAACCTCAAAAATCAAAAGATATTTCGAAAGTAAATAAAAATTTGTTACTCAATTTTTCCAGCAGTAAAACCGACATTTCCAGAGGTAAAACAGACATTTCCCGTGGTAAAACAGACATTTTCCATGAAAAAACAGACATTTCCCATGGTAAAACAGACATTTCCCATGGTAAAACAGATATTTCCAATGGTAAAACAGGTATTTCCAATGGTAAAACCGACATTTCCAGTGGTACAAAAGCTTTCCTTCACTCTGGACTTCTTAATTTAAAAGGAAACATTCAAGACTATAACTTACTAAAGACTTATAAAAATTTAAAATATTTTCAACCAAACTTGATTAATTCAGCTGGTTCAAATAATCTAATGTTAAACAAACACTTGACAAACTTTGACATATATAATATGAATACAAATAATTTAATAAACAACCCAAAAAATGACATTGTCGGCGAAAAAAATGACGTTATCGGAGAAAAAAGAAACAACCACAACTATATTAATTATGCAATAAATGGAAAAAACGATTTAAATCTTGGTAAAAATGACTTAGCACAGATAAATTTCGGTAAAAACGAATTTACACAAATAAATCACGCAAAAAACAATGCACATGTTTACTACGCTGACAATAAAAACAACAACAAAAATATTGTTAACAATAAAATAACAACTAACAACGTAATTTCAAGTAACTTAGTAAAAGATAAACTAACTAACTTTCCAAGCACTTTAACAAGCAACAACAACTTGGATAAAAATCGTCAAAAGATATTTCAACAACCAATACCATCAAACATGTATTCTAACGTTGTAGATAATAATAAAAAGATTTGGAAGCATCTTGAAAATGGAATACATGGTTTCACAGCAACCAATCAACAAAGCTTAGGTACACACAAACCAACTTATGATTCAAAAATTATAATAAAGAACGATCCAGTAAACTTAAAGAATAACCTTCTAAAACGAGGTGATTATCCTTTATTCGCACGAATAGCCAATTTTACAAATAGCATGATTAGAGACCAGCATGAAACATTTTTAAAAAAAAGCGGCTTTCGTCTAAACGTTCAAACTCCTCTAAAACAAGAAAGTTTTTCAAGCATGAAATCTTTTTATCCCACTTTTTTCCAACGACGTAGAAAAAATTTGAAACCAAATTTTTTTATGTCAAACTTATTACACCCTTTTTATAATCTTAAAGTACATGTTGATCCAAAAGTTTTAAATCAAACATTTCATGCTAGTAAAGGCCTCATTAATCACTTTGATAATCAAAAACTTTTTCAACCAATATATGATTGGTTTAAAAAAAGCAAGTCCGCTGTTCCTCTTCAACCGAACCGTAAGCATCTTCCGTTTAAAAGTAGTTTAGAAATGATTTTGCAAAACGCGGACCATAAACATGTTCAAATTGGAAGCAATCTAGTGGGTGATATAAATAGGCTAAAGGAGTTTAAACATAGCTCAACTAACTTGCCCGTGACAAGTAATTTAGAAAGTGAGTATAAAGAAAATGATAATTTTGATGAACGAAATTTTCAAAATACTAAAAAAAGAAACAGTTTGACGTTTCGAAATAAACAGTTTAATAATGATCGAATTTTCAGAGCTAGATATAAGTATTTTCATGAAGCTGCAAAGGAATACAAAAGACACAATTATAGTACAAATGCACATATTTCATTTGGAAAACGCAAACCTAGTAATGACACGATCTCAAAAGAATTTACAAAAAATGTTCAGTATGCTATGCAAAATTTTCCCATAATTCATACAAATTCATCTAAAACAAAAAATAATTTGTATTCATTTGACGACTATATCACTTCAAATCTTTCAAATGTAAATGTTCTTTCTTTAGAAGATAAACTTTTGTTATTGCAGGTATTTAATCAGACAAATTCATATGCTAAAAATTCGTCTGATTATGTAAAAAATGGTTTAGCTGTTTCACTGGCTGACACTTTTACCTCGAAGTTAAAACAGGCCACAACAAAAAATCAAAAATTGCTTGGTCTTATAAACTCTATTAATAACAGCTATACAAAAAAAAATAAGTGTGAAAACAAAAAAATATTTTTAAAAAGTACACATTTGACAAAGAACCACAGTGTTACTGACGCTGTATCAGAAAATACTGTTTTAATAAAACAAAATTCTATAAGCCAACCGTTGAAAAACCTTTTTTTAAACTGTTCTATATCTCGTGATGATCTGCAGTTTATGGCTGATTTAAAGAACTTAAGTAACATGAAAAGTTTGAAAATTAACTCATCAACTATCTTGATTCAAAATGTTTTGATGAAGGGTATGCTCTTTTTGTTTATTTTAGTTCATACACCAACGTTCACACAGCCACTAACTTTCAGACATTTATAGGCTTTTTTATATTAATTTGCTTGAAACTTTTTGGAACAACATTTAATCTTTATACGAAGTTTGCATGGCAACATCATTTTTACGAATATTTGTTTGCATAGCAACATCATTTTTACGTATATTTGTTGCATACATCTTATGAAGTTCATTCATATACTTTATCAACAAACGCAAATCTATATATTTATTTATCATATGTAATATTTTTTTTTATAAAAAGCAATTTTTTAAGAAGGTGTGAAAGAGAAAGATCGGAAAAGAAAGAGAGGAATTCTTTCGAAAAAAAAAGCTACAAACCTATACAATGAGAATAAAAACTTCTCTTTTCTTAGCTATTCCATTTTCATACCTACTATATGGTCTTTTTAAGTTAGACTATCAACATTTTTTTGAAAAACATGTTGGTTACTATAAGTTGTTTAAAATGTTGTTATTACATCTGCATTATTAAATCTTTTTATAGGCTTGTATGCATATAAAAAGATATTTAAAAAATCTCCCATATCATGAATTAAAAGCTTGCGTAATTTTTTTTTCTTTCTGTTTTATTTACAAATCAATTAACCAAAATTTACCTTTTAATTTATCAAAAATCTGATTCAGCTAATTTTACTTATTAACTTAATTATTATGGTGTTTTCATTATATACCATACGGCATCATTCATACAACATACGAATTTTTTATTACACCTATAGAACTTCCCAGAACTGCTACAGTTTATAAAAGGCAATTCATGTGCGTTTTTTTGATTGGTCTGCTTTGCTTGTCTTATCAAACATGACATGACAGAAAAAGTAAAATTTACAAAAATTACAAAATTTGGCTCAAGCTGAGATATATTTTCAAGCAATATTTAAAAATTAAAAATAATTCTTATGTTAGAATTCGCTCATTTTAATCATTTGTTGTTTGCCAAATACATTTAATTATTAACGTTTTATCTAATAACAACAAAAAGTTGTTTTTGAAAGTCATCTCTAACTTTTCCTTTTTAGATTAAACTTTTTCAGTTTATTTAAAGTTTAATAGCTCTTTACTTAAATATATCTTGCGTAAAAATTTACAGAAAGTTTATACAAATATTTTCCAAATATACCTGTAAATTAAATTGGTCGCATGATAAATATAAAGAGCTTCTCACGTCTCCACTTATTCCTACCAATACTAAGATGAAACAATTTTTTTTTTTTGATTTGTTAGTTAGACTTTTGTCCATCCTTAGAATATAAATTGAAGGGGAAGTATCTCACATAATTGTTGGAAAAATACCATAAAATTGAGACAGAATAACCAACAAAATTCGTAAATATTTGTAATCGCGAACATGAAATTTATCATTGCGTTGTGTACATCATGAGATCAACTGGGAATGGGTATATTTAAGACTTGAAACACTTTTCTACATTATTGAACTGAAAAAAAAAAGACTTTTCCGTATTAATGGACCTCTGAAATACCATGAATATATACGATTCTGGCAATAATATGAGATGGAAAAATCCTTAAAACTGCCGTCTGCTTTCTCAAAAAAAGTCCTCAATGCTAAAAATCTATCCAATGAAATGTGTCAAATACTGATTAGCCGACCCCTGCATTCCCATCTTCTTTAAAAATGTCCCTGCTATGAACAAAACAAATTACAGCTGTATAAACTATGACTCATACTGTTTCTAAGGTTACTCAAAAAACAATTTTTGAGACATCAAAAGAAATAAAAGGTAGTAGCAATAATATTGTTGATACTAGAATTTTAATTGACGGTTGACTTCAAGGATGTTGTCTTGACAACTTCAAGGATTAAAAGGATTGAACTTGACAATTTCAAAGATTAAAAGAAAATGGACTTGGCAACTTGAACTTGGACTTGGCAACTTGAAGGATTCAAACTTGAAGGATAGAACTTAGAAATTTTAATGATACAGCTCAATAAACAGAGTTGTGACAAGATTGTTGATGGAAAGTAGAAAAGTTTTTTTATGTTGAGCTAATAAGTAGACTTTATAGATAAAATCAAAATTGATTTCATTTAGAATTAACAATAACATATCTAAAATAAAGGTAAATAAACCATAACTTCAATGTAATACAAATATAACTAAATATTTTTTTGTTTTTTATATATAAATATATATTTTTAACGTGACATACACAAAGTTTAAACGCCACAAAAAAATTGATTACATGCGTTGTCATATGCATCACATGCATTACATGCGTTGTCACAACAACATGCGTTGTCACATTGTAAATGCAGTATAATAAAAGTTATTAACTGCTTATTGAAAAAGTTAACACAGAATTTACTTTTGTTTATGTTAGCCCTCGAACAAAAACCTATAGAAAAGGGAGGGGTGAAAAGTATTAATGCATGAGAGTAAAGGTTGTGTTTGTTTTTAAATATATAGTCTCAATAATGTCACCATATTCTATTTGTTGAAAAAAAAAGTGTTAAAAGGAGAAGTTAAGATAAAAAAAAAACGATAGCAATTGTTTTTAATTTTATTGGCAAATCAGTAACTAAACCATTTTGTACTAGAAGATTTAGATCAAAAGATAAGACAAAGCCTGGCCAATATTAGTGGAACCGAATGAACCATCCACTAGAAATCCAGTTCATTTTTTCTGGTTCTTTAGTGAAATCAGCGGTTTCTTTGTAGGGCGTCGAGAAAACAATCCGGCTTCAACAGCACGTCGTCTGATTGTTCGGTCCGATACAGGCAGCTCTAATTGCTTTTGTTTCGACTGATGATATCCAGGGATCCTTCTTGACTGATGATATCCAGGGATCCTTCTTGACGGATTTGACGATCATGGAATCCTTTCTTGAAGTGATGAAACGCGGTCTTCCATCTATGTTATCTGCTGCCAACTTCCCCGTAGAACTATATTTGGAACATAGCCTTGATACGGTCTATTTTTCACGCAATATTTATCACTAATACTTTTTGTGACATTTTACTTACATAATCGCCAATAATTTTCTTTCTTAGTTCCAATGCAAGACTGTCGGGAGCCATTTTTGCAATTGAAGTCATAAAAATAATAAAAATAAATAATCACGTTTCTCAAGGCTTACTGTGTTACATTTACCTTGCGATAATACAATAATGCTCTGTGGAACACAACGTCTTGGTTGGATGTGGACTGTGTTGATGTAATGAAGCACTTGTTATATTTTACTTCTTGTATTGATGTTCTTCGATAAAACACTTTGATAAAACTCACTTTGATAAACTGTCTTGATAATACTGACTGATTGACTTTCATATACTGACTGAATTACATGTCGGTTTACATGTCTCTTATATAGTAAAATAAACCTGTGTGAACCTGTTCTGGAAGATTTTAGATGCTTCTTTTCGATGCTTCTGGAAACTTCTGGAAGCTTCTGCATGCTTCTGGAAACTTCTGGAAACTTCTGGATACTTCCTTTAACTATTAAAAAACTTCCGTGACGTTGACACGGACCATACTTAAGAAAATGAAACAAACCAAAAAAGTTGCACTTGTTTTTTCCGCTGCAAAATGGCACTTGCCAACGAAATTCTGCCTGTGTGCTGTCACTTGTCAACTGATTGCTCATGTCATGGCATGCTATGACCCCAGACTCCTGAACTGTTTGCTGTGGTAGTATAGTTCGTTTCGTTTTTAAGACATGTAAAATTAGGAACACTTTTTAGCATTGTTCGATGTTGGTTGCAAATATTTTTCCAATACTGTATAAGTATTTGAGAACTTAAGTGTATTTATTTGAAAGCTACCTCACTAGAAAATAAGTTGGACGAAACAGGTGATTATAGGTTATTATAGGTTGTGATGAATGTGCATCGTCCTAAAATATTTGGAGTAAGTGAAACATGATTCAATAATAACTCAGCTGTTGACCTTATTGGGTACAATACATAAAGGTGTGATAAAACTGGTAACAGCAAAGGGGGCGGTATATGCTTATATATAAAAAATTTAATAAATTCGAATAAACTTGTTGATACAAGCTTGGGATGTAATACACTTTGACCTAAACAAGTATCTAATTGGTTTTCTCTACAGACCAAATAATGCTATTGATATGGTCAATATGAATAAAATTTTTAAGCTAGTAAAAAGTTGTGTCGATGTTAGCGGTTTCAAAGATGTATTAAATATGAATGATTATGTATATTATGGGTGACAAAGATGTATTAATTATATTAAGGGTGATTTAAATTTCACAGCCATTAAATGGTCCAATGGTGGTATAATATCTATTTCTAATGATAGTGGCGTTGAATATAAATTCGTTACAACTTTAAATGACATTTTTCTTTATCCACATACAAACATACTAACTTTTCATTTGGCAATGGTTTTACCTTAAATATAATAGGCTTAAGTATAATATTCTAATATTATACTTAAGCCTATTATATAATAGGCTTAAGTATAATATAATTTCATTTGGCAATGGTTTTACCTTAAATATAATAGGCTTAAGTATAATATTCACAGAATCTACTAGTGTATATGGTGTTGACGCGAGTTTTGTGCTTGGTAACATAGTTATGCCTAATGGTAATTTATCCCTTGAACCAAAAGAAATTGTAAATCATCTCAATAAATATTTTCAGAATGTCTTTACTATTGAAAAAAAAGGGAATCTCCCGCCTTTTAATCTTGAATTAAATAATGTAACTAAATTTGAAGACATTAAACATGATGATGTATGCCTTGAATTAGTTTTATCAAAACCTAAATCACTGAATGAAAATAAATTGCTTCAGGTTAATAAATCTTGTTTAACAGTCCTTAAATATTGTGCTATATAGTTTGCTTTACCAATAACTCTTATATTTTGAGAATCACTCAGGACCAGTCAACTCCCAATTCATTTCAAGTCTTCAAACATAACATCTATCTATAAAAAAGGTGACAAAACTTTTTCCAGAA